ACTGTTGTGAGTATTATCTTGTATATACTTGTGATTGAAGGAGAACATTCCGACTTTTAATGTACTAGACAGAGATTTGAGTTGCTTCCAAACACACCTGCGTAAGGCCCTTTCTTAAACTAGAAAAAAGTAACTTTGAATGTAATACGGGTTTTTTTAAAAAAAAGAAAATGTGAGTATCAGATCTCCAATCCTCTCCACAAGGACACATGATAATTACATAATTATCCCAGAGAGCATGCAGGATAATAGAGTTCAATCTTTTCTTCCACTGAGGCAGTGCTGACACAACTGGTATTTTCAGAGATGCTGTTTTCATTGGAGAGAATTCTCCCTTTGATGCCTAATGTGTTTTCCCGAAAATAAGACAGGATCTTATATTAATTTTGCTCCAAAAAACGCACTAGGGCTAATTTTCAGGGGATATTTTAATTTTTTTCTTGTGCAACATTTATTCAAATACAGTCATGTAATCTTCTGGTTGCTGCACAATGGTGGGAAGTGGGGTTTCACTGAATTGGGGCTTATTTTTGGGGTAGGGCTTATTTATTTATTTGATTGATTGATTGATTGATTGATTTTTACCCCGCCCCTCTAGACAGCGTCTACTCAGGGCGGCTATATTACGAACATCCTGAAAAAGCATACTAGGGCGTATTTTCAGGTTAGGTCTTATTTTCTGGGAAACAGAGTATGTAACAGCCCCCTTTAAAAATGCACTTTAAATGCATAGATACATTTGACATGATGTCTTGTTTGGCATTGGGTATTTATTTATTTATTTATTGATTGATTTTGGAACAGCCCCCTTTAAAAATGCACTTTAAATGCATAGATACATTTGACATGATGTCTTGTTTGGCATTGGGTATTTATTTATTTATTTATTGATTGATTTGATTTGATTTGATTTGATTTGATTTGATTTGATTTGATTTGATTTGATTTGTATCCCGCCCATCTGGTCAAATAGACCACTCTGAGCGGCTTGTGCAGAAAGGAAGAATTTCAATGAATTATTGTTATTTGCAGCAGTGGTGGTGCTGGCATATATAAAAAGCCAGTCAACTGCTTAATATTTGAGATTTCTTTGCTAGAACAAGTACAAAATGAATATTTGTAGGGACCTTCTTTTAATTTAAAGAGATGAGCAAAAAATAATAGAAGCCTAGGCTACTTAGTCCCGAACTTTCTTTTGGATGTTGTGTAGGAGTGTTTGTAGTGTGTGATAGCTTATTCTGTTTTTTTTTCCTCCAAAATGCTCTGGAATCACTACTCACATGGCTTTTGAAAAATGTGTTTTTGAGATCTGAAAATGTGATGACTAGAACTCATAGGTCTCACTCCCACAAATTCATACATGTTTCTCTCTGTACCCCAAGGATATAATATTTCAGTAGCATTGTTTGGACTGGAGGAACACTTTTGACTTAATGCTCTTGGAAGTCACTGCAGACTAACCAAGAACCCAGATACTAATCCACCTCTGTCCGCTTCTGAGCCACAGCACCAGAAAAGAGCTAAATCATGTATGATTCCACTTTTGCATGGTGTTTAGGTTCTGTTTTGTACTTCAAAGTGTGTTCTGCAAAGCTCTTTACCATAGTTCTAAGAGTATCCCTGATGCCTAAATGGCTCTTATTCATATGGTCTGGTTGGTGGAACTTGGGGTTATAGCCAGAAGCAAAGGAGATTACCGTATTTTTTGCTCCATAAGACGCTTCGGATCTTAAGACGCACATAATTTTTAGAGGGGTTAAACAGGGAAAATATATTCTGAACCAAATAGCGTAATAAAATATTTAATACAGTACACTATAACAGAATAACATTTGAACCATGTAAAGTGAACAGCAGTCAACAGTGGCATTAAGAACCATTACCACTGTCATTAACAAATGGAGAGACTTAAAGCTTTGTGTACTCATGTACCATAAATTTAATTCAAGTACGTATAGACCATTATCAGCCAGTGATAAGACCTATACCACGCTACCTATATTTTACATTTCCTTTCATCCACCTCCTCCCCATGCTTATAGAAATGACAGATGAGATTGTTGTGCAACTCTGCCCATCTACAGCTCAATCCTATATTAAATTAGAAATGGTTTGTCTGATTGGGCACTGCATTGAGAAGTCCCTTTTAGTTGTGTGGAGGATAAATAGTGGAATTAAACTATTTAACAGCTGGTTTTCCTTATTTACTTTAGGTTATGCAAAAGAACAGCAACACAAAGCTTAACCTGATCCCATTCACCAGCAGTAGCACATGCTCAGCATAAGACCAAATCTCCATTTTCTGACATAATTGAATGTTTATAGCATGCAAGGCACAACACACAAAGCCAGGAACAATGTTCTTGACCAGCTAAAAAAACTGAATACAAACTATAGTAACTGAAATCAGGAAGCAGGTACTGTAATCCAGTTAGAAGTCACGAGGCACAGTTAGTTTCCTTGCTACAACACCCTTTGGAAATACATTCTCTATTAGATGCCCAGAACTAGTTGAAAAGTTTGCAAGTTGAATCCA